TCTGTTATCTGTAAGAGAAGCTTTCGATGGTTGTTCTATAACGCATGGTTCCAAATTATAAACATTTATTTATATGCAGGAAAAATCTGGTACCCTTCTTTTCCTACAGGCTGTAGCTCAAAAACGAGTATACCTGCACATCCTTCCAGCATCGCTCAAATTCAATTTTTTACTTGATTCTGATGAAGAAATCATTCCTGATATTTTATATTTGCCTTCTAATGCGAAATACTCTGTATAGCTAGCTATAATAGCTATAAAAACAAATTCAAAATAACATAAGAGAAAATTACCAGAATTTTTAACCCTTTTTTTCATGGAATATTAAAATAAATGATTTGACAAGTTAATTTTCAAATAAAAATGAATCTTTTTTTAATGATTATATTACGTAATTTGTGTAAATTCTGTAAGAAAATATTTTCACTGTAAATGTACAATTATCTACAAGTAGAATTTTCTTTATTTTAAATTTAAAGGTATACATAAGCTAATTAAAATATTTTATACATTTTAGAAATGTTAAAATTGTTTATATTTTAATTAGGATGTTGGAACGTTGGAACGTTGTTAATTTTTGTTGTTAAACATTATTACAACTAATTTATGTTAAATTAGTTAAATTTAGTTAATAAAAATTAAATAATAAATTTGAGAATAAATTTTTATATGAGAAAGATATGCGGAATTGTAATTTTTGGGTCTTTTGAAAATTATTTAATTAACAAGATATTTATTTGTTATACATAGAATAGGTATATTTGTTTTTATTTGTTTGCTGAAATTTGTAAAATATTAAATATGTAATTATGAAAATTTAAATTATTAATAAATTTATTAAAATATATTGGCCTTATCACGATTGATAAAGCGAATGGCTTTCCGATTCATTAGCAAATGATTTCATTCGCTAGATCCGAAATATTGCTACTGCGAGGCATCAAAATTTGCATTATCACAACCACAGAGAATAGTTTGTTTAATGAAAACATTTTGTTTTCATTCACCAAGCTTATCGCAAAGAATTTTCATTCGATAATCATTCGCTTAAAATTTAGGTGAATTCGTCTATCATCGGCAAAAATGTCATTCTCTTCTTAGCCCATCATATAATTCACATTTAAGCAATTAAAAATATAAAATATATTGTTATTTTTCATAATTATAAATAATAAAAATTATTATTACTTTAATTATTACTTTAAGTAAAATTAATACACAAATAATAAATAAAATTTTGGCTTTAATTGTTGAATTAAACATTGTCAAATATAATTACCAATTAAGCAATTGTAGGAGCTGATATCCAACATGCTGATTTAACATTATAATTGAAACGACAAAAGCACTAATATCGAAACAAAATTCTATGACTTCACTATATTATGGCAGTACAAATTTATTGCTCTGCCATTAAATGGCTTAAGCAAAAATATGTGGGTATTTCAACAGCAAATGCTACAGAAATTCTGAAATCAGAGATTAAATTACAGAATTAGTTCGGTTTAAATATAATAAAAAAATTGGAAATCTTATCGATACGCTTATTATAGATTACGGTTTAATTTCGAATATATTGAATAAGTACATAGATAAATTTTTAAACTTACATCATATATTTACATATTAATCGTATATTTCTTGCTTTTCATTTAACTTTTCATTCACTTGCACAGATTTTTGAATTTTATGTCAAATTATCGACTGAACGTGTCTCTTCTTCAAAAACAAAGTCAGTAAATTTTGTATACTTTTTAGAAAAAAACGAGATTTGTACACAATACTGTATAATTCTTCCCACTCATAAAATACATTATACAAATATATATGATACTTTCTCAGTTTCTTCTCACTTGGCGAATAAAATAGCAAGATACTCGATCAGGCTCTTAACACATTTAATATAAAAAAAAAAAAATAATTTAGTTTTACAATTTTTGCACAGTTCGCAATTATTTTCGTTTGGAATACAAAAAAAAATAAATAATTATTTCATGTATTATGAGAACAATACCTCTTTTATGCAAGAGTGAAAATCTAATAAAAACCTGATTTATTTAATTACTTTATTTGTTATTAATTTAAATTACTGAATAAAATGTTTCTATATACGAGTACCAGTTTCCGTTTAGTTAAATGCTCCAATCATAATTCATTAGAACTTTTATAGAAATTGTGTGTATAATGCTTTCCCTATAATAAATTTCAAAATTTTAATTGATTATTATTTTAATATGAAAATTCGTGTGTCTATTAATGCTATCATATACGAATTATACCCACTTAATAATATTTTAAGTCTATACACTTGATTTTTCTTTTCTTTATCTCTGAAGAAAATCTGTACGATTTTTACATAATATTAAAAAAATACTAAAATGATTTTTCTAATTTGTGGGTTGTGTGTGAATTCAAGTGAAGTATAAAATTTCTAAAAATAAAATATAGAGGGGAAAAGGTATCATTTTTTTTTTCTTTCTTCATTTTTAACTTTTTATTTTATATATTTTATTTTTATTTTTGATCCTTTTGATGTTCAGTGGAGAAATTTTTTAATAATTTTTTTTTACTCCTTTTTTGTTTCGGCTTTATTTTTTATTTTTTAAAGTAATTTATGAAATTCAAACGACTTTTGGCTTAGTTATGGTTTTTTAACAATTTTGGTATTTCGATATGAAAATGGGAGGGTAAAATAACTTTTTTTTTTATTTATTTTTTTAACATTTAATGTAAAGGTTTATTTTTTATTGAAGAAACAAAAAAATGAAGGGTGATAAAGTTTTTTGTTAAGGAATTTTCAAGTCATTTATTAAAAATTACACGATTATTATTATTATATTAAGTATAATAAAAAAAAATATATTAAAATTAAAAAAAACAAATCCTTTATTTGAAAATGAATTAATTGTGAAAATGAAAATATTAAAAAATTTTTATATAAAATAAAATTCTGAATTTTCTTTTTCAAAGGTGTGGAACACTTATTGAAAAATTGGATTGATTAATTTTTAGAATTGGAAACCTATGGTAGAAATATCAATTTTTTGAGGAAATATTTGATTGTACATATTTGTGGAGGAAATAATACATAATGTAAGATGTTATAAAAAATTATAAATAATATGAATATTTTTAAAACAAATTTTGTAGCTATATAGTGTGCAGAATAGAATTAATATATATATTATGTAGTGTTTTACAATTTACAACACGACAGAAGAAATTAAAAATATTATGACCATAAATATTAAATTCAAAATTATTGATTTTGTCTTATATTATAAAATAAATTTTGTACCAATAATAAAAATTTTAAAGCCGGGTTACGCTATTTTTTTGTAATATATAATGTGATACTCTTAAATTTCATTCTAGACGCAAAATTCCAAAACCTAGACCCTCATATATTTTCATATTCATATAAAAATATTAGTCACCAAAATTTGAAAAAATAGTCAGCCAAATTTAAGTTCATTTTACTCAAATATTTAAAATTTGTTATATAACAAAAAAAATATCCTGCAATTCATTAATTATTAATCCTGTTGTGATTATTTAAAACTACTCTGGTAATACTGCAATTTTCACTATGTACTGTTTTGTTTTAAAATTTAAACTGTACCAAAAATTAAAAGTACTTTTGTGGATCTTACATATATCCTTCGGAAATTTTGCAAATTTTTATTTTCTATATTTCAACTACTACTACATAGATGGCCATTTTATTTAAGTTTAGTTGGTTTTTATACAAAAAAAAAAGGATATTTATTTTTTCCCCAATATCCTTATATTGGGAATTTTTTCTTTTTTGTAAAAACAATGCTTTAGAAAATTTTTTAATCTACCAATTCTACTTTCGTTTTCAACTGTTATGAAGAATTCCCAGTTATGAAAAATTAAAAATGCATATCTCTTTTATTAGTTTTTTTCTCTAAGTGAAACACCATTATTCTTTGTATTTTAATCTTTAGTACCATTTAGTATCTTTCATGTTAAGTAAAATGGTTTGAAAAAATTCCAAATATATTTTTGAATTTGAAAATCAGGAATTTTTAATGATTTTTAATAGTTTTCTATAATTTTAATTTCAAAATTCGTTGTTTATTACAAACAAAAAAGTAGATATTTTGTGAATACTTAGAAAATAGAAAGCACGCTAGCAATGGAATTAGAATTCTGAATACAAATTTCGTGTTTTTAAATAAATAAATATAATTTTTTTGTTTAAAACAAATTATCTCCAAATCTACAAAATTTTGTTGCCAAATTAAACGCATCCTGATTTAGTTGTTAAATTAAATGCCTTTTAAATAAACAAATGGCGTAATCTTCAAAATTATAACAGAATGAACAGTTTTGGAAACACTCTATTATTCTTTTTTAAATATTAAGTTCAAAAACTAGTTTTAATTCTTATAATGTATTATCTGTGAATCCCTTTAGATCTCGTGTAAATTTCAAATTACATGATTGAATTGTTTATTCATATTGCATACTTGCACGTACGCTTGTAAGATCTACATATGAACATACGCGAATACTATGGATAATTTATTTTTTAAATTTAAAAATGAGTAAATTATCACATACGAATTTTAGCCTGAATAAATATAAAATTCAAATTCCATTCAAATATAAAATTCATATTAAAATTTTACAGAATAATTTCTTTTTTATAAGATTTCACTGAATATTAATGAAACAGTTTAATTCTTCTTCCGAATAGAACCGAAATTACAACATTTAAAAAATGGAATCCTCTATCCAACCAAAATCTTTTTTTTTAATTCTTAAACGAAAATTTCTGTTACAAAAAAATTGTTCTTCATCTTACCAATAATAAAAATAAACCTAAAATAAAATCAATTATTATTACATACTTCATACGTTTACATTTTGAAAATTATTATTGTATTTATTGAGTAAAAACTACGTATAAACATGATACGCAACATTTGTATTTAATGAACATTCTATAAATAAAAAATTAATTAAAATAAATTAATTAATCAGTCGAAACATTATTATAATAGTAACATAAATTAATAATAGCCTTTAAAATTTAATAATAAAACAAGTTTTTTTTAGTCATTTTTGAGTACACTTATAAAAATTATAATAAATTTTGAATTTAATTATTTTTAAGGAATTGCTTTTCCAACTAACAAAGAAAAATGAAAATTACACATTAAATTATAAATTTTTATGATTACTATAACCATTAATAATTTCTTTATTATGATTATCAATGAGAGCTCGTACTACTTCTGTTGTAAATTTTTCAACTAAAGCTAAAGCTTTGTCTTCAGTTAAATCACAAAGGCTAGCTGAAAGGAATCGACCAAATGCTTCATATTTTTCAGATCTAGACACCAAACGTCTCGGTTTTTTTGGTATTTGTACAAAAGGTTGTGGTTGTTGCTGTGGTGGTTGCTGCTGTTGTTGTTGTTGTTGCTGTTGTTGTTGTTGTTGTTCTTGTTGCTGTTGAATTGGTTGTTGCTGAAGCATTTGCGATATATTTCGTACACTAATTTCACCTTGTATGGGCAATGATTGTAATTGCTGTAATTGTTGCGGTTGCTGTTGTTGAACAGGTTGTTGTTGTTGTTGCTTTAGATGGATTTGTTGCTGTAGATGAGGTTGTTGTATTGGTTGCTGTTGAATTTGTCGCTGCTGATTTTGTAAATTTTGTAAAGTTTGCAAATTCTGTAAATTTTGTATACTTTGTAAATTTGCAATATTTGGAAGTAGATTAGTGGTTGGTTGGGATGGTGATGTAACTGTTATCTCTTGATTATCGCTGCTATTACCATTTACCCTAAAATTGAAAATTAATTTTTATTACAAATAATAATCGAATCTAATGTTAAAATTAAATTTTAGGTTATATATTCTTACAGATAACCAGTTGCATCCACATAATTGCCATTAGTGCTCATATTTGTGTCATCATCACTAAAACAAAAACAGAACATTTATATAATAACATTAAATGTATTTACAATATTTAAAAATAAATTAAGAAAAATTAGTAAATAAAAAAAATTGTACTATTTTGGACCAAATTTTAGATACACTTACGATCCATTATCATCTGAATCATTTTCACTTTTAATTTCAACATTATTTGCAACATTATCAAAATTATTATTTGTTGAACTGGATGTTGATGGTAATTGAGCATCTGTACGTTCTTTAAGCTGTTGTATATAACGATGTTCAGCCATAATTTTGATTCCATTCATTTTATTTGGATTATTAATAATCATTAATGATGATGTCGATGATGGTCTATCCAAATTACTAGAACCTTCAATATAATTTGGATTATCACCACGTTTCATCATTGTTTTATATGAACGACGTGGTTTTATATGACCATCAAGAAATTGTAAATGATTAAATAATGCCCATGGTGATCCAACTGCAGTATCTGGATTTTCTGATTTTAAATTTTCCAAACGTCTTTTTTCTAAATTGTAGCGATTTCTCAATTGATATATGCGTTCTTTTAACATTGACACTAAAAAAAAACAAATAAATAAAATTAATAAATAAAAAATTTGATTAATTCATAAATTTTTATAAAAATTTTAAACTTTTGTACTTAATACTAGTATTTGAAATTTAAATTATTTTCTCGCAAAATAAAACCATGAAAAAAAGATTTGAAGAGAAGAGCTATTGAAGAATAAAACTTGTTTATTTTTAATTGAAATTTATTTTGGTTCAATTGTGCATACGAAAAAGCATTATTTTAAGAAATGCATATAAAGCTTTTTATTTTTCCCGAACACCATCTTTTATTTCAAAGTCAAATTACTCAATTAAGAAAGGTATAAGAGAGTATATATTAAAAATCAGTAATTATTCAATTCGTATGTATGTATGTATACCTACATACATAATTATTATCTATCACTATAAATCCATAATAATATTATTTGTGTAATAGAGTGTTGACTCCATGCCATCTTAACAACAATAATATTAGTTCTTAATATGGACTAAACATTTTTATATGAAAAATTGCCGGCTTCACAACCAAAAATATTTTCAATTTTTAGATTATTAAATTATGTTATGATTGAATAGCATTTTTTAATTCATTTTTTTTCTTTCATTTCTTTTTCTCTCTCTCCCTCTTTTTCTAATTCTCTCTATTTTACTATCAATTCTCTATCGTATGTTAACTATCAATAATCATCGTTAGTTAAGGTGAAATGTATGAAATATTTTTATATCTACGGACTACGAGTATAACATAGTTTTGAAAATGATTTTTTAATTTAGGTATTTATAAGTGTACCTTAAAAAAATTTCCACTTTCTCAATATATATTACAAATATATACATACATATACATGGTGATATGGTATACAACTATATTTGTATTACACTTATGTATGCATATTTATAAATTCTTAAAAAAAAGCCTTTTAATTAAAATTTTGTTGTTATTTTAATACTTAAGTAAAAAACTAAAAATATAAGTATAGTTGAATTTATAACTAAAACAAAAAAAACGAGAAGTACTGGAGAATTTTAAACAATTTTTATGTAATTTTAAATGAAATTTTTTATAACAGATTTCTAATTGATATGCATAACAAATATGTTTGATTGTTGATTTCTTTATTAAAACTTTGCATATACACCGCATAAATTACTAGAAAATTCAATTTGCTGCCTGTTTGCAATTAAGTCCAAAATTACATAACCTTTACAATTTACGGTTGTATATAACAAAACTATAGGCATAAATACCATTAAGTGTACTGTTTTATTTTACTTTTTCTAATTTTTATGGTATATACAATAGAATAATATGATTAAATTTTATTAGGTGTCATGAAAAAAAGCATTGCATTGTTAGATGTTCAAGGGCCAGGTTTTATTCTGAAATTTTTAAGGAACCAAAAAAAATTTAAATTTTATAAATCCAAACAATCAATATATGTATGTATATATTTTATAAGAGAAGAACCAAAGTCCCAAAAAGAAAGGGAAAAAGGATGTTTTTTAAAAAAAAATATTTCTTTAGCCTTAATTTTTGCACAATTATATAAAGTGATTTGTATTTTAACTGAGTGTTCCAGATCGTTTTATATGAAATGCATTCTTTGTAGTTGCGAAGCGCCAAAAATTTTTAAACGAGCCGTATCCGCGTGATGATATTTGGGAAGCACTGATGCAAGCAAAAATATTTTGAGTTTGTATTTTTTATTTTTTTTTTGGCCAAATTGTTGATTTTTTTCTATGACTTGTCGGATTATTTAAATTTTTGCTTGTTAACTAATAACTTCTAAGAAAGTTTAAAACAATTGTTTTTTATTGAGTAAGGGAATAAATTTGGAAAAAAAATAATTATATGACGTATTTGTTTTACTTCTGTATTCTCTCTATTTTCAAAATTCATTATTTCGTGTTTAGCAGTACGAAATACAATATGTAAATTTTAAATATTCTTTATTTGTATAATACGGTTATATACAAATATAATATATATACATATTACAATTTTTTAAATTTAGAATACTTCTAAAGTATATCTCGTATAACAAAATTAAATTTTTTCAAACAAAATAAAAATATTTTATCTTCTATACTTACTAAATAAAAATTTAACACGAAATAATATTATATTGTAAGCTTTCGTTATACACACATACATATACATGTATATATATATGTATAATATATAATATAAATAAATTATGAATGCGCGAAAAAGTTGATTTAATTTAAAAAAAAAAAATAATATTAATAATATTATTATGCATGTAAAAAATATAAAGTATATTTAAAATAAAATAATTAATTAGAATTTGTATATGTAAGTAGGTATACATACCGTCATATCCTAATGCTAATGATACATCTTCCCAACATCTTTGTAAATAATCTTTATCCTTGAAATTTGGATCACTGCGATCATAAAATGCTGGACGTTTAGAAAATTCTTGTATTAGATTAATATCTAAATCACCCATATCGTCGTTTCTACGTCTTTTACGTCCTCGTTTTCTTTTCAACTGTGAAAGGTTAATATTATTTAAAGATGCCACGATTACGTTTTTTTTTTTTATTTTTATTTACTACACACCATTTATTTAAAATATTAGAAAAAAAATTGATATATTTTTTTTTTCTACTTCTTTTTTTTTGTGTTTTTTGCTGGAAAAATTAATTATTTTTCAAAGAATTGTTTTTAGATTTGTAGCTGGTTGTTGTTGTTGTTATTATTATTTTTTTTTTATTTTTTCTCTAAATAATAATAAATTTGTTATTTATATTTTTGACTTTTTTCTCCTTTTAATTGAAAATCTTATATTTTTTGATTATGAAAACAAAAAAAAAATATTTTTAAAGATTATTTTTTAAATTTTAAACATAAAAATTGCGATAGAAACAAAAATATTTTTTATTATTTAAAAAAAAAAAATTTTTTTTTTGTTTGAACAAGAAATTATCCAAGTTTCCTAAGTTTTTTTTTCTTTATTTTGTATTTTTATATTTTTAATAGATTTTATTTATACATGCAATGAAATGAAAAAATTTAAAAGGTTAGAAAACAAAAAATGAAATAAAAATTATTGATTGAAAGTTATTTTTATATGAAAAAATTATTATTAAAGTCTAATAAATTAGTATAACACAATATACGAGTATAACAGCAAATATTTTAGTATAACACAAAATAACATTTAAAAATATTTTATTATTAATATTGTGTTATGTATGTATGTATGTTGAACATATAAAAATCGAATACCAAAAAAAAAACAATTTTTTTTGTTTTTGTCTATTTTTATGTTTTGTCTTCCAATTATGTACATATATTTTCTCTTATACTAAAATATAATGAGTATTCAAATGAATATACATAAGTATGTATAATTTACATATATATGTATATATATGTATCGTAGGTATGTGAGCATGCACAATCAGAAATTGATTATTTCACGATTTTTTGAAAAAAAAAAAATATTTTTTTTATAAATTTTTTTTTTTATTTTAAATATATTTTTAGGTATATTTAATTGCAGAATAAAAATAATTGTAATAATAAACCAAAAAAAAAAAATTAATTATAAAAAGTGATAAATAGAAGAAATTTTATAAAAAAAAAGCAGAAAAAATTGAAGCTTTTTTTCTTCTTACTTATATTATTAAGAGGAGTGTTGGGATATTTTTGCATTTTTAATGCCAAATTTGGCATATAATGGATTTTACTTTTGCATTGAGAATTTTGTTCGATTGAATTTTGAAAAATCTTTGAAAAAATAAAGTTTTAACAGTTTCATTTTTATATGCAGCTTTCATTGTGAAATTCTTATAGATTCACATCTATTTTATTCAACAATATTACCACTGGCCGTCACTGTCCCACTGATTCAAATTTTGTAAATTTATAATTTTTTATTTTGATTATTAAGACATAAGAATATTTAATTAAAAAAATGCTTTCATTTATTTACATACATGCAAATCGATAGGTTGTTTTTTTTTTATTATTAAAATTTCTTTAAAACTACCCCGGAATTTTAGGCATAATTTTGTATAAAATGGCATTGTATTTTGTCTAATCTAGCATAATTTATTCGACCCAATATCTCAACACTGATTAACCGTATATAAATTAAGAGATTTTTTTTAGCGATATATATATACTTTCTTATATATATATGTATGTATTCATAATCATACATACCTATAAGTATGTATGTATATTACATGCATATAAATTTGTTATGCATATTATTAAAGTAAATTATATAACTAAAAATACATAATGTGTAAGTACCCACTTTATTTTTAAAATACATGTATTTTTTATAAGTATAAGTAATAAATTTGTTTTAATTTGTTAAATAATTAAAAATAATATTATGGTACTTGTAATTTTTTTTTTTTTTTTGCCTTGTTAATCATGAATATTAATTTTATTTTTCTAAAACATTAAATTTAATTATTTGAAACAAAAGTATAATTAAATCAGTAAAACAAAAAAAAAAAACACAGAAATAATTTTAAATATAAAATTAAAATGAAATTTTTATTTATTTATTTTTTTTTAGATTTTCGAAATAACAAAAAATTATTTTCACATTTTCATTACTCATTATTATTGTTATTACTATTTTGTAGTTAATCATATAATGTTATAATTATTATTATCATTAATTTAAATATTTTATTTAATATATTATTGGTAGTATGAGCAAATATGCATATATACACACAATATATTCACAATAACATTTATTATTCACAATAATAAATAACTACATGCATATATATATAAATAATATATATAAATATTGTAGATAATAATAATAATATTATATTTCAATAATAATAATTCGTGTCACACACAAAACAACATATAAAATTATAATATTAATATGTATTATATTATAAGTAAATTATAAAGTCCAAAATATGTGTACATACATACATATAATTGTAAAAGAAAAAAAAAAAACACACGAAATAAAAACAAAAATACAAAAATGATTTTTTTTTTGTTATTCCTTTGTGGGAATTAAGAATTTTAATTTTTTAGTTAAATCTTTTTTTTTTAGTATTATTGCGAATATAATTAAAAATATTTAATATTTATACATAATATAAAATTATACTTATAATTAATTTTTTAAGCAATTCAATTCGAAAGGTTTAATTAACTTTAATAAAATCTAGTTAGTTTTTTTTTTCTTTTTGATTTTTGTTGTTTTTAAGAGAATCAATTAAAAATGAAAATATAAAATTTTTAAATTAACTCTATACGGGCGTTTAACTATAAAAATTTAATTTTACACAAAAAAAAAAAACTAAAAACAAAAAAAATAAAAAATCATCATATAAGCAAGAGAAATATTTTTTTTTTATTTTAATTTTTTATTGTTCTCTCTCCATTTTTCTCTTTTCTCACAATTTAATCTCAAAAATTTTAATATTGTTTTTGTTTTTTCTTTCAATTCAATCTATGCTTAACTCTCAATTTCTCTCTATTATTTTTTTAATTTTCTTTTATATTTTTTATTTATCTCACAAAAAAAAAAATTTTTTCTATATACATATATAAAAAGTAATAAGTAAATTAAACGAGCTTTCTCACCATATTTTTTTAATCGTTTAAAACATTTTGTTGTTTGTTGCCAGTGTCACCATTTTTTTTTATTGTTTTTGAATCAAATTGTTATTAATTTAAAAATGTATGTAAAAATATTTTTTTTTCTTCTTTTAAATTTTTGAATTTTCTTCCTCTTTATTTTTATAAAAATGTTTTTTTTTTTAACACTTAAATCTCTTAATAAAAATGTGAAATACTTTAAAAAAAAAAAAATTAATAAAAATCTAAGCGAACGCCGGTAGTGTTTTTAATTTTTATAATTTTATGTACTAGCAACTATCATAATGGTGTGCCTTTTGCCTTCACGTTGGAAAATGCGCATGTGAAAAATGTTTTTTTTTTCTTTTTCTTTATTATTATTATTTTGTTTTTGAATTTCTCTTTCAAAATTCTCGTTCTGTCATTCTGTGTCTCTCACTGTTTTTTTTAAATTAAAAGTTTTTTTTGTGCTTATTATTGTTTTTGTATTTTTCTGTAATACCTACTAAATAAAAAAATAGCTAGATAAATGGAAATAATTTATACAGAGAAAATTCAATTAAAATTAATAAATTAAAACAAAAAAAAAGCAATTTAAAATAAAAAAACGACGTTTTTTTAGGCTCTTCAATCTTTATATATAAATTTGTCTGTATGTATGAATGTATGTAATTAACTTATGTTGTACTAAAAAATTTTCATAGAAGATACATACAGCGGAGAAGATGAATATAAAATATGCATATACATACATATGATGTATAACAATAATTATGAATAATTTGAAATCTGGCTTTGGGTATGCAAAATATTTAATATGTACATGAATTTGTATATAGATATTATGTATGTGGGTATGCTTATTGTAGAAACAGCATATTTTGTAATCTAATATTTTAATTCGATATGTTTAGTCATTTTTAAGTTTATATTTTTAAAAAAATCATATAGGATATGAAAATAATAAAACAAGCTACATATAATGTAGATATAGACATACATACATATCTTAAACAAAATATTAAATCAATAATTAAAATTTAAATTTAGTAAAATTTAGTGTGTTTTATTAAATTTAGTGTAATAATTAAATTACTCTATATATATATATATATATATATATATATATATATATATATATATATATAACTTAGTCATCCTAAAGCATTAAGTACCTACAAAATTAGGATATTCGCGCATTAAATAAATACATTTTGGTGAAAAATAGCATTAAATATTAAATACGTTCTAAAAGAATATTAAAATATATTATAACCGTTTAAGGTACCTAAGATTTTAATTTGTAATTTTTAAAAACGCAACTTACTATACATACATACATATATGTATCCTACTTATACATACACATAATATATTTTTTAAAATTATAAAAATATTTACAATTTTCTTTTCAAATATTCTTCAAATTACAAAAAAATTATAGTATCCTATTACAAGTTCTATATTAAAACAAAAATAATATTGTTATATAATATTTATTCTTATATTGTTATATAATTAGTTACTCAGTAATATACAATATCTACATAATATAACTCAACTTGAGACTATACATTATAAGTAGGTATATTATACTCAAGAAGGCAAAAAACACAAAAAACGGAAAAAAAAACAACTCAAATATTTTTGAGTGAAAATTGGCAACCTTTTTTTAAGAATGGAACGGATATGAATTAAACTATAGAATTTAGATCATAATAAGAATAAATTAATTTTGTTAATGTTTATTTCATTAAAAAAATATGTATGTATACTATAGGGGGGGGGGGGGGGGGGAAGCTTTAAAAATTCATATAATATGTAAAATAAATTATTATTTTGTTAAATTTTAAATAAAAATAAAAATGTATAACATTATTAAATTTAATTATTAATATATATATGTATATGTACACATGTAAATACACATGTATGTATTTATTTAAAAAATATTGACATAATTTTTTTTAATTATTTAAATTTTATTATTATTACAAAAACGGATTGTTATTAAAAACAAATTATCTACAATAAAATTATTTGTGTATGTATATAAGTATATGTATGGGCATTATAAGTACGTGAGTATACTTATTATTTTATCTATGAAATTTAAGTAATTTTAATTATTTTATTATACATAAGAAGTAATAAATGTATTTTAAAAAAAAATTTCTCAATTTGTTTTTTTTTTTGTAATTCTAATTAAGTACATATACATATTTATTTCTGTATTACACATATATATGTATGCATATATGTGAACTTAAAAATGACCAACTAAAAATTAAATTTTGTTTTTTTAAAATAAAAAAAAACATTTTCCATAATAATTTTGTCTAAATGTAAAAATACACACCTAATATAATTTAAAGTATGTATACCTATATATATATATACATACTCATGTACATACTATAATAATATATTTATTATAAATATTTAACAAATATAGGGGTACATACATACATTCATACATACACACTACTTATAATGTAGATTTTATTATCTAACCTCAAATTATTTTGATTGTAAAAACAAAATCTCTTTTTTTTTTATTATTGTTATAACGTTATTTATTTTTGTTTTTATATATGTTGTTAATTTTTAATTAAAAAAAAATTGTTTTTTTTTTTTATTATTTTTCTTTCGTTTTTAGTTGTTTTTTTAGATAGCTGTGTATGTACATATAATAATTGTATTTTAGAGCGTTTTGAATTTTATCTCTGTTTTGTTTTTCTGTTGTTTTTTTTTTGTATTTAATTCTCATCTATTAAATTCTTTTTAGTTTTTTCTTTTTCCTTATTTTTATGTGTACGTTTTTAAGTTATTCGATTTACTATTGTATTGGTAATTAAATTATAGGTTCATAAATTTCAATATAATATTTAATTATAAATATATATATATATATATATGTATATTATATAAATATATACATATATGCATATATGTATAACAATAATAATAATAAGAAAATTTTTTAATTTAAATAATATGAAATTCTTCTTTATAATTTTAATTTTTAATAATAAAAACAAGATAATTTAAAATTTCAATGCATGTATAATAATAATTTTGCCTCGAGATATTTATTTTATGTATACATATATGTACGTCATATGTATGTACATATGCAAATATATTTACATATTGATAAGTATACGGAGAAATTATTATTAATTATTAGTAGAAATTTTTCACACCCCAACAAAAAAAAAAAAAAAATTGCCTTTTAAAAATTTTAAATATCAATTTTTTAGATTTTGTAATTATTAATTAAAAAAAAAAAATAAAAACAGGAAAAAAAATAATTCAATTATAATCGCCTAAAATATTTCATATTTTATTTTTTGTATAAATTCCACAACCAGTTCTTTCGATTATAATTTTAAAACTAAAAACAAACTTCAGCAGAGTTTCCAAGACAAGAGAATTAAATTTCTTGTTTTGTTGTTGTTGTTATTGTTTTTTTTTTCATATTCTTTTTTTCATATAATATTATTTTTTTATTTTATTTTTTTTTTTCATATAAAAAAAATTCAAACTTTTTACGTTCGGTTTCGTGTATTTTTTCATTTTGTTTTTTTTTTTTTATATTTATATGTATAACTAAGAGCAAATGGCAAAAGTATAATCATAAAATAAAATAAAAAAATTATATATTTTTTTTATTTTATTTTATACATATGTATATAAATTGAATAAAAAAAAATTAAAATATAATAACGTTATAAAAAAAAAACTGTGTTGTATAATGTGAAAACTTGGTGGAAACGTTGAATAAAAATCAAAATATACGAGTAGTGTAAAAAAAAAATAAAATGAATCTTTACACAATTTTAGTAATAAGTATAAAAATCTGTGTATAAAATATGTATAATGTATATTATACAATATATATATGTGTATATGTAAATAAAAAATATATTTATTATAATGTAATGCGTTATTATATAAACTTGCATATATGTACGTAATGTAGATATAAGTACATACAAGTATAACGTATAATAACGTTATACATATTTGTATAATATGTGAATTTTTTCATTATATTCGCATATACAAATTTAAAAATAAAATAAAACAATTAAAAATATTGGAAATTAATAAAAAATTTTTATGTTTTCAGTCATTCACCTAATTATTTTTTATTAAAATTTTAATGAAAATGTTAAATATTATTCGTGTATTATATTATTTATATACATACATTATATGTATATAATTAAAATTGAAAAGAAAATAATTTACATTAAATATTTTTATAAAAAAAAATTTTTTTTTTAATTTTTAATACTTTTAAATTTAGTCTAAATATTGTATACTCATAATAAATTATGTATAGTGCTCATAATATACATTGTGTATATTATACATAATAAATAAATATACTTTTATATTATATGCGGTATCTAAGTACATACAAGTAACATAGGTACACAAACAATAATATATTTAATTTATAATTTTCATCCATTTTTAAAAATCTTATCAAAAAAAAAAAAAAAAAAGAATTTTTTTTTACTTTTGATGATAAACTAAAAAATGTTTTAAAAGTAACAAAAAAAAAAGGAAAAGAGAGAAGAGAGCAAATAATTAAATAGAAAAACAGAAAAAAAAATTATATACTTAATCAACTTTAACTATAATTTCAAATTTCTCTCGTTCTCTCTCTCAGTCTCTTTTTTTATTTCTCTTTCATTATTTTTCTCTTTCTATCTATCTTTCTCTCTTTATATTATACATAAACTTTTTTAATATTAACATTGTTTTTTTTTTTTTTGTTTTTTAATAAAAAGCTAATAAATTATTATTTTTTATATGTTTTAAATAAAAAAAAAACTATTATTTTTTTTTAATATTAATATTTAAAGAATTAATTTATGTGAAAAAAAAAACATAAAATACAGTATGATTCAAGGATGTTTTAAGAATGCATCCTTTAATCATACCAAAAAATATATGCATATATATATATGCATGCATGACAGTATTTATTATTCAAGGATGTAATGCGCGGAGCGGAGCGTGCAGTAATATTTCCTTTTAAATTTAGAAATATGTTATGTATAAGTACATAATTTACATTTTGATATTTATATACACTAAAATTCATTAAATTTTTAATATTATATTAAGAATAGGAAATTTAAATTTAATTGAAGAGATTTTGTCATCTTGTTTTATAATATCGAACAAAAATTTTAAATAGCTAACACAAACGAAAAAAAAAAAATTAAAAATTAAATGAATTTTCGAAAAATATAAAGAAAAAATATTTTTCTTTTTTTAATAAAATATTATGAATAAATTCATTGATGAATATTTTGAGAATTTATTGAAAACCAACCAATAATTTTGTAAAAAAACTTTAGTTCGAAATCATCATATATGTACAACCTGAACAAAAATGTTTCTCCCTTGCGAGAAAAGAAAATAATTATTTAATCACATACTAAAATAAAAACTTAAGGGTTTCCTTTTTGAATAATAAAATAAACAAATTCAACATTATAATATATTAGTAATATATATATATATATATATATATATTAATATATAACATATATTAATATATATATATGTATAATATATAACAATATATATATATATATATAATATATAATTTATATATATATATAAATATATATATATTATATATATATATATTTATATATATATATGTATAATATATAACACATATATATATATATTAGTATTATATTTAATATAATATATTTGATCATCTCATAATAATTTAATTTAATAAATTTAAAATTACATTTCTCGAAAATTTCCCAACTTGATTCCGCAAGATGTCTTGATTTTCCATAAAACATAGGCTATACATAGAGCAGTTCTCTTCAAAAAATTCAATTGTAAATACAATAAAAATAAACTAATATTAAAAATAAAGCGCATAAGATTTGCTAAATTATACCGTAATTTTAATTTTGATCCATTTGTGTTATGTTATTATTTTCTGAAGCATCTTGTATTTGCAAACTTTTGTCTATATGTAATAATATGTATGAATATATATTTAGCGCTCATAATTGATAAACAAAAAACTATTGTGGAAAAAAATATTTATTTAATAATTTTTTAACTGCATTTTATTACATATGTGTGTATGTATGATATTTTGCACATTAAAAGAATAAAATGTTATTGTTAAACAAAAAAAAAAAAAACAACAGACAAAATTAGAGATAACTTTTATTGATTTTATTTCAAGCCATGATTGTTTACATACATATACTTACATACTTACACATGAATTTATGTAAATGTAACAAAAAATTTTTAATATTAAAAAAAAAAGAATATTTTAGATGTAGAAATAAATTTCTTTTTAAAATATCAATGTTTTATTATGCTTGCATTCCGAGAACCCTGTTAAGAGAGCCGCGTTGCACCCTTTGTTTTTAATAAAAATCTATATAAATTTCTAGTTGGCAAGAAAACAAGACCTTCTTTATTAATATTTACTGCACAATAATAGCTACACCCTCTTTAAAATTATAAAATTTTAAATTAAAAATAACAAAATGTAAATTATTTCGTAAAATTAAAAAATAAAAACGCGTATCTCCAATCAAAACTTATTTTAAAATTACAACATTCTTTAGCAAAGTTTTCTACTTTTGCTTTATATTTTGCATCCCCTATATTTATTTTTAAAATCATTTCAGTCAGTTCCCTATTTTATTTTTCTCTCTCTTTGTGTACAGGTTAAAAATTTCTGTCGTTTCTCAATAAACAGCATAAAAAAAGTTAAATTTGTACAAAAAATTGAAAAATTATGTAATTTTAATTTATATAATAATTAAATAAATTACGCATTCATAACAAACATTTATCTATATAAAAATGCTTATATACACAGATAATAATACATGCTTATATGCAAGAGTATACATAATTATTATACAGAAGAAAATGAAATTAAAGTGGAAAGGAAGTTGAAAAAAAAATTGTGAATTAAAAAATTACAATAAAAATTTTAAAAATTATTGAGAAAAATATTATAAATTTTATTTTTTTTTACTTGTAATTTCTATATTGATTTTGTGAAATATATAATTTAAATACGTACATGCATACCCCAACTCTTATATATAAATGATATCCAGAGTGAAATTCGTATTTTGTTGCCTTAAATTATTAATAATTTTAATTAATTTTATTTGACACATTAAAAATTATTAAGAAAAATTATGAATATTAGGAATTATGCATTCTTGGATTCATTATTAGTACTGCATTTTAGTTCATAATTTTCTTACTGCGAAAGTTTTGTTAATAATTTGAGAACTTTAATATTTTAATTTAATTAGATTTACTTGTTCGAGAACTAGACTTACATGCAGAGAATTTTTTGATTTGTTTTTAATTATTTATTACGTTCTTTATTATACTCAATCACAGACTTGCTGATTCGTCATACAATGGGTTTTGTAAAACGAGCGCTTGGCTCTTGAATATTTTTTGTATGTTAGAATATAATATAATATACAAAGGCATATTTGTTTTATAGTTTATAATAAAAGTAAGTAATATTTTTTACTAAATAATTAGGTACAAATTAAATAATAATTGTTTTTTTTTAATTATCCTTAAATTACCTTAAAATATAATAATTAAATAATTTCTAGTAATTTTAAATTACATTTATCTTACATTAATCTGCTTTTAAAATTTACTTTCGTTTTAGCACGTATACACTCTGTACATTTATTTAATAAACAAAAATGTACCTAATGTATTAATTTTTAACCAATACAAATACATGCACACATAATTTACATATTATTATAATTTATAAAATAATTTAAGAGTTTTATTTTCAATTTCATGAAAATTTTCTAGTAGTCAATAATTTAATTTAAAATTTTTTTGACTATACGAGAATAAACAATTTTCTACAATACTTAATTTTTTTATATACTGGTCAATATTAAAAAAAGAAAGAATATATATGTAGCTTGTACACTATACAAAATTTGTTCATATAAAGTTTATTTTATGTATGTTTCCATATATGGTTGTATGTATGTATGTATATTTTTAAATTTATAATAATTTCACTTAAATTAAAAGATATTATAATTTTTAGTAAGTATGTATGAAATCATTTCTTCTTCTTTTTAAATTTTTATTATTCATTTATTTTTTGTTTTTGTTCTTATGTCGATTGTTTTTTTTTTATTTTTATTTTTTATTAATTTCTTGGGTACTCATTGCATTGTATTTGAATTTAATTTTATTTATTTGTTCATATAGTTTCTTCTTATACATATATTTATTTTTTTT